CAAAATTATTGGCTGTAGGCAGCTGGCCAGAGCCAGGACCTTTCTGGATTTGATGCTGTGGTTATTGTTGACATAAAATCAAATTTCATTTTTTTAAAGATTTGGATTTAGTTATAGCTTCCATTTCCCCGATCAGTTGCAGTAACATTTCACATTGGGTTTATCTGATGAAACCGTGTTTACTTTGAAGCTGTTATTACGCCCTTAGCCCTCAGTCTCGTCTTCTTCTCATATTGATTGAAAAGCTGTAAACCTCGGGCAAGTATCACCACAGGGAAAAGTCTAAGTGCCCTCTGTTTCCTGCTTTGCTGATATGTTCACTTCATTGTGTATTCCCACTTTCCATCATAAATGCCTTTAAAACCACTTGACTGGAAAATTGACTTGGCGTGTCAATTTGGTAACGCCCCAGTCAAGGCTCCCCTGTTTGTTTGGGTCTACAGATGCATTAGTTTTTAGCCCTGCTCCTATCAATCTCTGCTCCACACATACTTGTAAATGTATTCTGCTGGTTTTCATTTGAGCATATCGACAAAAAGACAAGGTCATGCGAAGCTCTCAAATACTGTGAAAGATCAATGATTTTGGCCTTGATGTTATAGAGCGAATGGTGCAATGTTATAGAGCGAATGGTGCAATACATCTCCGCCTATCTCCGCCTATCTCCGCCTATACTTTAGGTAAAACAACATGCAATTTCACACAATAGTATATTCTTCTTCTTGAATGTGTTTTGCAAAATACATTGAACATTTACTCACCACATATTCAATTACTGTAAGTAAGAAGTAGAGATGTCAGTCTCAGTTGTTTTGCCAATCGATCAGTCGATCCGAGTCAACCAAAGTATGTATTGGTTATTATATGTAAGCATTTATATAGAAAGTCGAAACAACTTAGGCAGACAGATAGATCCATATGTAGATAGACAGGTACTTTATTGATCCCCGTTGGAGAAATTCAGGTGTACAGTAACAGAAACATCCATACAAGCGTCAATTAGGGCTGTCAAAACAATTAAAACATTTTTGCTATCGGCAAAATTATGCCATATTTTTCTGTAAATGGTTGTTAGAATGGAAAAATAAATGACAGCATAGTGTACATATGTACTGTATTTGTTTATTATACAATAAATCCATATAAAATGGCATTAACATCATTAACATTCCGCCTTTCTGTTTAGACTCAGACCAAAACTATTGTTTGTTACAGATGAGGGACATTTCAAAACAGTCTGAAATGCAGAATGTCATTAAATCTGTTTGATTTGCTCACACCATAACTTTTTTTTGGCAAAACCAACATGAACTGTTAGTGGAAGGGAAAATTAGGTACCCCAGCTTTAATTTAGCGAGCGCGCTTCGGGAGAAGACACGGAGGACACTGAGGCTCCGTAGTCCAGCTTCAGCGCTATATTTATTGTGTGCACCAGTTACGCAAAGACACGCACACTACAAGCAGAGAATAGTTCTGTGCGTAGTCTCGGATATGACGTTCCAGAGGCGCCGTTCGCAGTGATCACAGCCGCTGGAGGTGGGAACCAATGTCCAGAGCGCCTGCAGCTCAGCTGGCAGAGTTCATACAGGAAACAGCAGCTAGTGCCCCACGGTCACGCGTGTATTCTTAGAAAAAATGGATTCCCAGAGGGCCTACCTGCTTTGTCACCATCTTAAGCCTGGTTCACACGAGACAATTTTAAAATTGTCGGCCGATTTTTCTCCGTGTTAGACCCCACACGGGGAAATTAAAAATCCTGCGTCTAACCACTTTGGTTGTGCAGTGTGTGGTGCGTAGCCACACGGCAAGATCACGCAAGCCACAAACATCACACACGAACCGACACCCCCCCCCCCCGAGCATTCCCAGGTCAGACAAAAATCTCACAAAATCTCTCGAGATCGAGCGTGACTTCAGAGTAAACAGTCATGGCGGACAAAGAGGATGCAGTGGCGATAGTGTGCAGTTTGTTGTTAACAGAGAAGACACGTAATCCAAAGAAAAGGCAATGGTTAAAGCCATGCTGCTGTGTTTTGTTTTTTTTCCGGTGTTTCCTCACCGGCTTGTCACCTCGTCTTCTTATTGGCTACACGCCGTAGTCATGGCAACGCGATCGCTTGTCCTCGGAGGACACCACACACGACAAGAAATCGGGCCAAAACAATCCAACATGTTGGATATCCCCGATTTGAGATCCCGATGTCCTTCCGAGCGACGAGTGCAGTCTTAACACACCACACACGGCAGGATAATCTGTAAGATTTTGTTACGGAAATCGGAGCGTTTCTTAAGATTGTCGTAAGGGGTCAATCGGGTCTAAATCGGCCTAAATATCCTGCCGTGTGAACCAGGCTTTACACACGCGCATGTGTCCACAGCATTCTGAGTGTTATTATGGGATGCATGGGCAAAAAATTAACGATTAATATATATACATTTTTTTTACATGCGTTAACGCAATAATTTTGACACCCCTAGTGTCAATATACATCAAGAATAAGTATATTCCGTGCATGTAGTAGTAGTAGTAATCTTTATTTATATACCGCCTTTTCACTGTCAAGGTCAAGGTCAAGGTCAAATTTATTTATGAAGCACATTTACAAAACAGCCATCACTGCCCCAAAGTGCTGTACACAGTACAATAATACAACACTACAAAAACACAACAATATAACACGATAAGAAAGTAAAAATGTAAACTGTAAAAATATGAAAAAATGCTCAGCTCATCTTGTGTTAAAAGCCTGCGTAAAAAGGTAAGTCTTTACCAGAGTTTTGAAGCTCTCAACTGATGTAGCCTGTCTAATGTTCACAGGGAGGGAGTTCCACAGTTTAGGGCCTGCTACTGCAAAAGCTCTATCTCCTTTAGTTTTTAAATGAGACTGCAGACACTGCAGAGCTGAGTCTCAAAGCGGTTTACAATTGTTAATTTTGGGCATTTGTTTCTCACTCCTCACAGAGATGGGAGCAGGGTTAGACCTATTGTACATGTTTTTAGTGGTAGGGGAAACCTACGCAGACACTGGGAGAACATTAACATTTAAAGGTGTTGATTGACTGATTGGTATTTGTTTATTGAGCGTGGCTAGCTCCGCTAGTTCCGCTAGCTTCTCTGCACAGACAGAAGTAGTGACAGGCGCTGAAAGCTTGTACTTGCGGAGTAATGTTAGTATTTTACACACCTGAATTACAAACAGAGATTGCATTGCCAAAGGGCAGCGGTCATTATTGGGTTGAGAGTTCTGTTATCAAAAAAAAATTATCGGTAGAACGTTTTGAAATTACATTCAAGTCAATGGAGTGTTCTACTGCTGCTGTGAGGAGCTGTATAATAAATTATAATTAAATATTCAAATATATTCTAATGTTTAAATTAATACATTCGGATGCTAAACTAGCGGTAATTCTTTTACTGATATATTATGTTAGCAGTACGTTACTTTTTACCATTTCATCAGTCTTACAGCCTCTAAATCTTGTTTCCCACCTCCACCGTTTGACCAAAAAACGAAAAGTCTGTGATCCGGGTTGCCAGAGCTCACCGCGTTGAGCTAATTTCACAGGTAAAGTAACATGTGACCACTGTGCTAAAAAAGGCCTCTCAAATCATTAATGATAAAGCAAGAATTTCTATCGGGCCTTTGTGAAAAAGGTGTTGGTTACAGATTTTATGTTTACAAAACTCTTGTGTATTCAACTATTATGGTCCCAGATGGATTCGTCTGCATATCTGGCAACCTCAGTCAGGGAGATGGAAAGTACCACTTTTGGCCAGATTTTTGGCGTCAAAGCAGGGAAACTATTGATTCACAGGTTTAATTACCTTGTTATTATTAGAAATATTTATTTTTAGTGTTGCATAGTTTAACTTGAAAGTTGTTTAGCGACATACTGTAATAATAGTTTTTTAATTTTTCTTTATAGTCGACCAGACAAGCATTTCTTTGGTCGCCTACAGCAGTGACCTTCGCCAGTGAATTCATTTATGCTCTTCTTGTCTCCGCACAGATGCCTCAAACATTCCTTCATGCGTCATTCTCTTTACACCGCGTTTGTAAGACTAAATTACAAGCCTGAGTGTTCCAAGGCCCTTTACAGGTTCACGGACCAGGGGTTGGGGACCACTAGCCTACAGCAACAAATTACAATTTGAAAAATGTAGCCTCTAATAGTTGGTCTTCTTTTTACAGCTATAGTAGGGCCACAGTCTTCTATAGCTAAAGCAAATCCTCAAAAACATTTCCTCCATTTACTAAAATTGATTGACGTACTACATTTACTCACTATTCTTTGTCTTCCATTAGGTGCCTGATATTTTACAACCAAGAAGCGACCTGGAGCCACCTCGACGGAAAGAACGGCTGACCTTTCTCTCCGCTCTATAATGAATGTTTGCCACCTATCGTGAACTTCCGGAAGTTCAGAGCTCCGGGTTCAGACTGATTGGACTGGCCTTTGGATAACACAAGACTGATATGTGATTCAGCCATGGACATACCTGGTAATGTCTTGCACCAGGATGCCGTTTTGTTTCAGGGTTTTTTCATAGCGAGATTGGATCTTTTAGGGTAAAAATATGCTTCAAGTTTAGTTTGTCCACCATTCACTTTGGGTCATAAAAATAATAGATAGTAACTTCTCTCTCTTTTTGAAATTGTAATATTTTTTAATCAATATTCTAACTTTTTGCTATGCTGGAAGAAAATCATCCTCAAAACAATCTAGCTACTTAAGTGGGATGGCTTTTCCTTGAAACACTGGACTATTTTCCCTTCCTTGACATATACAGCCACACTTAGCGTCCAATTGCTAATGCCATGCAAGAGGTTACAAACAAGCTAGCATATCTTCATGACCTCGTGTCCCCTGAAGCTAGCTAGCCAAGTGTAGCTAATCGCCTACTTAATCGTGCTCCCGCTAACATGGCTAACAGGATGAACGCATGCCCCTGAGCGCCACCGTCCAGCATCACCCTGGCTGGGTCCCTGTCCTCGGCCATGACCCGGCTGATGTTGGGCCGGACTTTGGAGCGCATCTGTAAAGGCGTGCTGCTGCTATGCCTGCTCCACTTCCTCATTATGATGATCCTGTATTTCGACGTGTACACCCAGCGCTTCGACCTCTTCAGCCGCTTCAATAACGGGCGCAATGGATCCAGGAATAATATCAGCAGCACTGGACATCATTACTACTACTACAATCTGACCAGGCCTAACGGAACAATGGCCAGTTTCTTAGCGACGGGAGAGCAGCTCGGGTTAAGCACGCAACCAGAGACGAACCAGACGCCTTCGCCCAAACCTCTGCCCCCCTGCCCCGAGATCCCTCCCGGACTGGGTGAGTGGAACACATTTTAGCTATTCAATAATGGAATTCAAGGTTCTCGCACTATTGCCGTGAATTTTTGCATTATTCTCTTCGCCTATTGTGTTCTGTTTTATTGTCTGGTTCAGACTGTTATCTACTTTTTATTCAAGGTTTACAACGGAAAATTACACTTATGAATGTGGTTAGGAAGAATTTATTTTGGTCGCATTACCTGGGATGTAGCTCGAGGTCACTAGATTCACACAATTTTGATTTGAACACCTCTGCATTTCACTTCTCCTTGGACAACACTTTTATCCAATACATTCAGAATCTATTTCTTTCATATTTTGCATGCAACCCTCTAATTGTCTTTCCAATTAGTTTTATCTGCTTCTATAGTTGCCTGAGTATACTCTGGTTTACAGTCAATACATGCAGTCTGTAGCCAATGCGATAAAACAGGGAGGATTTGCTCGCCATCGATTAGTGTAATGGATAGCGAGGGTTAAGACCTTGATTGGATTCTGAATCTAGAGAGTTCCTACATTATATTGCACTAATAAATGCATTTCCAGTCTTGAGCCAATTAGTAGAAGAGCAAATGTGTGGCTGTAATGTTGTTTTTTCCCGGTCATAAAATGGATTTATAGTCCAAGATTTAGTGTTTAGTAGTTCAGCCTTATAGACTTGCCATGAAGATCCAAGTGGACAGAAATGCAAATTAGCAAAAGTGGAAAAAAGGATACACTTTGCAAACTAGTATTTTCTCACCAAAAACATTTATGAACAACCTTGTCCCTTCTCTGTACACTGTAGAATTTGACAGATGTTATGTCATAGCTTCAGGAGTAATTTTATCTTCAAGAACCTATTCATTGTTCTTGGATTAGTTTTTGGCATTTCTATTCATATTTCTCTTATTTCAACAGTGTTCACATGCTAAAGATATATATGAGGATTTTCTACTTTCAGGTGGATCATCAAGACTATTGGTCCTCCTAATTGTCAATAGTGCTCGTCAAACAAGACCAGAGAGGTTTTTTCAGTAGGTGGAGTGGGCAATTCTTTTCTAATATTTGGGAAAATTAATATTTAGTGTTTGTTGGTTAAAGCTTTGGTACTATGCTTTTTGATGATTTGTCCAGCATCACATATTTCAGACATCGAGAATTTTCAGTCCGTGATAGCGTTGTTAAAAATGAATGCCGGTTTCTTCTGCCTGAAAAGTTTGACATGATCTGTTATGAAAAAGTAATGACAAAGAAGAGACAATTTCAAGAGAGGCTAGAACGTTTAAACTGGTTTGAAATGTGGATAATTACCACACACATCATAAAAACCTTACCAGTTTGACATTCTGCACACACAAAACTCTGCATCATTGTAGCATATTAGCATAATTTGGATTTCTCCGTGATATTTGGTCCAATCAACAGTATTGCAGGAGTAATGGTTTGCAATAAGATGGAAAGAAATCTAATTGAAAAAGGTGACCGATCACTGTGCGGGAGAATAGACATTTTAAACAGTTGTAGCTGGTGCTTCTGTAATTGTCCATGGCCCTTTACACACTCGATCAGGTGCAGTTGCCGAGGTGGTTGCCTCGCTTCTGTCAGTGTGCCCCAGGGCAGCTGTGGCTACAGTAGTAGTATATCACCACAGTGTATGGAGTGAAAGAATAATGACATGTAAAGCGTCTTTGAGTGTCCAAAAAAAGCGCTATATAAAACCGATGCATTATTATTTTTATTAGTTCCTTAGTCACGCACTCCCAGGTCATTAGCATCAGTTGCCCTTAACTCAACAAACGAGAGGTTGATAGAGTCACTTTAAGCCGGGGGTTTACTGAATCTATGATTTCCCTATGGCTGCTCTGTCGGTCACTGTTTCATTGGATCTTAAACCTTCACCTGCTCTTTCAGTCTACATAACAGGGCTCACAAGCAACGGATTAATAGCAATAAATCAATGTGATTCAGTCGCAAGCCCTGACTTTTTAAAAATATCTTTCCAAATCTGCGTAGGCATAGGTTGGTCCACTAGAGCTGCACGATATATCAAAAAAATATCGTTATTGCGATATTGGTGCGTGCGATGTCCATATCAAAAATATCCATGATATTTTCCTTTATTAAAGACAACAAAACAGACAGATACATCACCATTCAACAAGAACAATGCATTTGAATGTCATTAATGTTGTGCTCATTTTTTGTTACTTGTCTCTTGCGTTTCAATCCAGATGCAATTTTAGGTGAAAGACAAAAATATCGTAATAATATTGTTATCGCAATACTAAACACTCATATCAAATATCACACTAATTTCCAATATCGTGCAGCCCTAATTTCCACAGTGCCATTCTCTAAAGTTCTATTGAAAAATCTACAGTTGGCTTTCTTCTATTCCATTTCAATTTAATTTTATATTTTTTATAGCCCTAAATTACAACAAGAGTTGTCATAGAGAAAATACAGTAGGAGCCATTGGTCAATAGGGAGCGGAATATTGTTAGTAAGGGTCCTTAAATGTCCTGGATCGTTTCTGTCCTTAGAGCCTCCCTCCTTTATGAACCTGTAGAGTTCCGTGTTCTTAAATTTGATGGAGGAGGACATAGAGCTACAGTATACAGTGGAGAATGGATCATAGAGGATTTTATGTGGACGCATACAGACGTCATGCTGGCCGTATGTGGAGGGGGATTATTGCAAAGATTGGATAATACTATTTGTTTGGTTTACTTTCACGGACACTGCACACTGTGACTGGATTATTGTGCAAAACCGTACAATTGAAAGCGCTGTGGCCCCAAGCTGGTTAGATTTTTGATGGCTTGAAATATTTCATTCATTTGGTCACAGGTAAACTATAGCAATAAACTTTTTTTTTAGATTAGATTTAGGAGGATCAGTGGGGAATGATAATGACAAATTGGAAATCTCGAAGCCAGCTAACATTTCCTGAAGGGCGCATTCACACTGGGTTCACTGTAACTTGACCAAGTCTGGTTCAGTTGGGGAAATAAAGGCTTCACAGATCAGTTTCAAAAGATTAAAACTGACATGTCCATAACTCTGCTGCTAGGATCATCACCCGAACAAAATCAACAGATCACATAACTCTAGTTCTCATCCAACTTCACTGGCTCCTCATAACCCACAGAATCCAGTTTAATCTCTGCCTTCTCGCATTCTAAGCTCTCCATAACCTGGCCCCCTCATACCTGAGTGACCTACTCCACCTATACTACACTACTCCACCCATACTACACCCTCGTACTATAGCACATGAGCATCTCTTGATATGTCTTTCATTGACAGTTGGTATGCTGCACCAATCATATATTTAGTTTTGTATTATGTCCGTTTCTAATAGTTATTGTTGCTGTTCATGACTTTATCTAGTCGTAAGGCTACAGGCAAAGTTAAAAGTCCTTGACCGCTCAGTTCCCACACACTTCCACCTCCTCCTGTTTTTTGGAGATATTGCGTTTTGACCTGTTAAGTAAAATACTCCTCTGTTTTTACCACATTTCTGCTTGCAAGACATATTTTGGTGTTAATATTGCACTTCATTTTTGATACCATAGCATGTGTGTTGTTAAAAAACGAACCCCATTTAATAATACATTCCTAATGATCCCAAATACGGCCCAAGATATTTTGACAAATGCAAGCTGGATTTTCTTTTCACACCTGCACTATCTGTAAATGAGCTCTCTGAATGTAATCCCTCGCCAGGACTATTGTGGCAGTGTCAACACTTTTCCTTGATTGCTTTTCTGTTTTGATAATGAGCTATGCCCTGAAAAAAGTGCCTCGAAACCGGGAGCGAACGATAAAGCCGTCAGCCCGACTTGCCAGTGACGCAGAGCTTTGCTGAATCCATTATTTGGCCTGGAATTGGCTGCTGCTTGTGTTTCGGGATTTGGCATTCACGGCGCGCACAGGTGTAGCGCTGTAGCTTATCTGGTCCTTTCCCGCGGTGATGGAGGAGAGGTTGCCCGGGGGATAGGAGGAGCACAGCGACAGCATAGAAAGAGCTCTGTTACCCCGTTCACAGGTGCATCCATTGCAAGAGGCAGACGATTCGGGTGCATGAAGTTTTTGGGAGGGAATGAGCGAGTGGTTGGTTGGAGTGGTGGTGGAGAGGTGATGAGATAAAGAGACAGAAAGAGACGCAGACATACAGGCTCTTGGCTTTCCCACAGCTGCAGCTGACAGGTGCACTCTGGTCCGAGGAGGCCGTGGGAAAAAATCTGAAGAATTCACCAATTCTGCCCCAGTAATGTTTGAAAGATGTAAATGTAGAGACACAGAGGCAGAGTGGACGACTGGTAATTATGTAACATGTATATTGCATGCATCTAATGTGGAATAATGGCAATCAAATTAAAACCGCAATTAGCCCATCGCAAAACCTGTTATTTTAGAAGTTATTTAGAATACGTTATTTCCGTTTGCAAATATCAAATTATCTTGTTGCATAATATAAATCTGGTTATCCCTATATTTAGAGCTCTCACTGCAAATATCAAAAACGGGCTGTATTAAGGTAAAAGGTATGTACAGTACTTTTACTACTATAATGATCACCATGGGTATCTGAAAAGTCACAATTTGATATTTTTTTTAGAATCCTGCAGTCCTAGCCTGGATTATAGACATATTTATTGACTTAATAGGGAACTAATAAATCCCACTGGTTGTCTCTATGGTGGAGAATTTAGTTTGATGATTTTTATAGGGATGCAATCATAGCCTGTATATAGATCGACAATGCTTACCTCTTAGCTCATCCATCCATCCATCCATCCATTTTCTTCCCTTTAATCCATTTCTGGGTCAGGGGGGTGGCAATCAGAGATGCCACCCAAGTCTCATAGCACCAGCCCCTCACTGACCCTCTGCAGGTGGTGAGTCCACAGGAGGACGGCTGCTCTCTGACTGTGAGCATAGCCTTGATCTTTCAGTGGGGGCTTAGCTCAATCAAACCAAATAGGGAAGTGCTCATTTATCAAGTATCCAATTCACTCTGGCTCCTATTGACTTACATTGAAAAGCAAACTCCTCCAGCTCAACAGTTTGTATCCCACTCACAATTTTGGGCTTTAAAAAGTTTTAGCTGCCTCTGTGAACCTATATTTATAGTTTGATATTGTTTTTGTAAATCCATATATGAGCCATACATTGATTAACCATGCCCGCTTTTGTGGGGGAAACTCCACCATGCTTTAGCAACACTTCTGCCCCTGTTTCGACGTGGAGCTAACTCATTGGCTCCAGCTAGCTTATGTTCAAACCAGCTTCTTCCTCATCTAAAATCATCTCTCATTTACTCTATTCAGTGAGTTTTACATTTGAATCATGAATTATTCGGCTGGGCCCCTTTACTTTGTTACTGTGTAGTTGCAGGAATTTTTGGTACGCTAACTCCATTTGGAGATAAAATTTAAGTCTAAAATATACTTTCCCTACAAGTTCATTTAGCGATTTTAAGTAAACAAGTTTTCAGTGTGGAGTAACATAATTGTGGCTACAATTTTTTCTTTAATTGAGCAGCTCAATCTTGCTCCCAGGGCTAATTTTTCTTTAAACTTAAACTCAATTATTTATTCCCTGCATTAATCACTTCCTCCCACTCCCACATGTTGCTCAGTGGGAGGTTAAAAGCTATTTCCCAAGTCCTTGTCTTAATTGGAAGCTCGGCAGGATTTTTTTTCCCCAATCAAATGTAATTAAAATTAACCGTCTTCTGACAAAGTATCAGCCTCACATGTCAGACCTCTGGCTTCTTTTATACGTATAAACTTGGATTGCTCTTTTAATCAGACAACTACCCGTGAACCCAAAAATACCAGACATTATTCATCATCAAGAGTTTGGCTAGAACAACACTATGTTTTAAAATGCGAAACAGCAGAGAAATCACGCGCTTGTCTTGGTCGTCAACAGAGCAAAAATAGTATCCAACAGATGGATCGTGTGAGTTAGAGTGTCTCTAAGGCGACAATTAAAAAGACATATTTTGTACATTAACTACAGCTGACTAATTGTATAGCAGCATACTACACACACTGGAGAAAAATAGAGTCAAAGCCTGAGCAGCAAATCCATCACACAGTCGAATCATGAGGAGAACCGTTCTACAAATCCTATTTCTACTAGAGTGCTGTTTTATTAGGTACGATACATCAGAGCGGACGGCCCGTCTAATCAAATGTGATGAATGGACTTTGGAAATGGACTCAGACAGGTGTTGGTAATGTTTGGACGAGCCGAGCTGCTTATGATGGTACTACACCTGGTTTTGTTGGAGCAATATTCGGGCTGCGCTTTGATAGCAGCTGCAGTTTTGCATAATTTGTGAGAACGTGAAATTAATCTACGAGAATAGTGCATGTTTATGAGACTCATCTTAGTCATAGACCGTAAAGGTTCAGAATGTCCACTGAATGTCACTTTATCTACTTAACCTGTCCTATATGTATATAAATTTGCACTATATACAGTACATATAGTTAGACATACTGTAAATTGATATTGAATCATTTACAGCTCGCTACAAAACATTCTCAAATTGTATATTTTGTGTGCTCCCTGCGTGCTCTCACTACTGACCTGTATGTGCGCTGCATCATTGAATTTTCCTCACTGTGACTTAAAGATTCTCTTATTATTATTATTATTATTAAATGAGGAGTGGACTGACCGAGTGCTGAGGTCACTATAGTGTTAGCCAAACCAGAGGAAGCAGATTTGAACATAAACTAGCTGGAGGCAAATTCCTTATATAGGCATTTGTTCACATGGCATTAACTGACAGGGGAAGATGTGTTGCTAAGGTGGTTGTTAAGACAAGCTGGAGTATTCCCTGTAAATGAAGGCATCCTTATACGGCTTATATCTGGATATACAAAAGCGACATCAAAATATAAACACCAGATTTGTAAAGATGGTAAATGTGTCACATGACTGGTACTGAACTAGAGGAATTTACTTTTCAATGTAAGTCAAAAGGAGCTAGTGCAAGTTGGAGCAAAACTTTGTTCATGAGTACTTTCCTACTGGGCTTCATTGAGCGAGGGGGTTAGCATTGTCCAACTATTTCCAGTCTTGATGATGAATGAACTTACTGTGGGTTAGAAGGAACATGTTTTAATTAATCTAAAATTAATTTTAGTTCCCTTTTAAATTTGAGTGGACTCTCACTATTTTTCTCGGCATTTTATCATTTGGCAATAGTATCTGTTATATGTTTTAAAACCTAAATATATTTCTTCAGTATACGTTTTAATCATATAATTATATTCATTTTTTTATTAACCATAACCCTAACCCTTTGTTTATTACATAGTGTGTGTGTGTGTGTGTTTTTGCGTGAGCGTGTGTGTTTTTGCGTAAGCGTGTGTGTTTACATTATTTATTTATTTAGTCTTTATTTGAAGGGACAATGTACAGAAACATTAAGCTCAAAGACAGGGAACACGGGGACATTAGCGGTCTGAGCGAGCAGACTGAACATACTCGTAAACAGCCAAAACAGGATCTACATCAGGACTAAACCAGGGTTGACGATGAGGGACATTGTGCTTGTGAACATATGCGTTGTCATGCTCCCGTGACTTTGCATACCCCAGCTGCAAGTCGCTTGGGGTATGTCTCTATCAGTTTTGCACATCGAGAGACTGGAATTCTTGCCCATTCTTCCTTGCAAAACAGCTCGAGCTCAGTGAGGTTGGATGGAGAGCGTTTGTGAACAGTAGTCTTCAGCTCTTTCAACAGATTCTCGATTGGATTCAGGTCTGGACTTTGACTTGGCCATTCTAACACCTGGATACGTCTATTTGTGAACCATTCCATTGTAGATTTGGCTTTATGTTTTGGATCATTGTCCTGTTGGAAGATAAATCTCCGTCCCAGTCTCAGGTCTTTTGCAGACTCCAACAGGTTTTCTTCCAGAATGGTCCTGTATTTGGCTCCATCAATCTTCCCATCAATTTTAGCCATCTTCCCTGTACCTACTGAAGAAAAGCAGGCCCAAACCATGATGCTGCCACCACCATGTTTGACAGTGGGGATGGTGTGTTCAGGGAGATGAGCTGTGTTGCTTTTACGCCAAACATATCGTTTTGCATTGTGGCCAAAAAGTTCGATTTTGGTTTAATCTGACCAGAGCACCTTCTTCCACATGTTTGGTCTCTCAGGTGGCTTGTGGCAAACTTTAAACAAGACTTTTTATGGATGTCTTTGAGAAATGGCTTTCTTCTTGCACTCTTCCATAAAGGCCAGATTTGTGCTGTGCACGACTGATTGTTGTCCTGTGGACAGACTCTCCCACCTTAGCTGTAGTTATCTGCAGTTCATCCAGAGTGATCATGGGCCTCTTGGCTGCATCTCTGATCAGTCTTCTCCTTGTTTGAGATGAAAGCTTGGAGGGACGGCCGGGTCTTGGTAGATTTGCAGTGGTCTGATACTCCTTCCATTTCAATATAATTGCTTGCACAGTGCTCCTTGAGATGTTTAAAGCTTGGGAAATCTTTTTGTATCCAAATCCGCCTTTAAACTTCTCCACAACAGTATCTCGGACCCGCCTGGTGTGTTCCTTTGTCTTCATGGTTCTCTCTGCGCTTTAACAGAACCCTGAGACTATCAAAGAGCAGGTGCATTTATACGGAGACTTGATTACACACAGGTGCATTCTATTTATCATCATCAGTCATTTAGGACAACATTGGATCATTCAAAGATCCTCACTGAACTTCTGGAGTGAGTTTGCTGCACTGAAAGTAAAGGGGCCGAATAATATTGCACGCCCCACTTTTCAGTTTTTTATTTGTTAAAAAAGTTGAAATTATCCAATAAATTTTGTTCCACTTCACGATTGTGTCCCACTGGTTGATGATTCATGACAAAATATTAAAATTGTATATCTTTATGTTTGAAGCCTGAAATGTGGCAAAATATTGAAAGGTATTTGCGAATACTTTCGCAAGTACTGTATAAACAGTACCACATACCGTCAACTTAAGTCAACTGTGGCGCTTGGAGGGTTAAAATGTGAAACCAATATATGATATAGACTCATCGCATATTTGTGACTCATCAACGTGACCTGCCCTCTGTTGGTTTTCATTTGGAGGAATATGGCGTGCGGTCCATTTTTTGAAATTTTCTAATTTTCTGCG